GAAGGAGGAGAGAGAGAGAGAGAACGGAAGTGCTGACGTATACATCACGCGACAAGAGTCTGCTGCAACGGGACCCAGTCAAACTAAGGCCAGTGCTGTCCTATTTACAAAACCTACCTTCCCATACAGGATATTTTGTGTGCCTAGCATATTTGATGTTATGACAATTTGACAGGGACTTGGCAACAGACTGATCAATTGGCGTAATTTATGTCAAATTAAGCTAAAAGATGCTCAGTCGTTTGCCAAGTCTGTGTGTAAAGAAGTCATAAGCAGGTGGGGACTTCCCGATCACATATTCTAAAATTAGTGGGAAAGGATTTTGTGAATAAATCAGTGAAATGGTTTTTCTAAATTTAGTGGGAAAGGATTTTGTGGATAAATCAGTGAAATGGTTTTTAAAAGTTAGGAGAAAAAGTCAGATTAAAAAGTTAGGAAAACTAGGGTTGAAGGATCTCTAGGACAGTCAGCTAAGCTTCAATGTTAGTAGGAAGAGAGAGAGAACAGTCGTGAAGGGACATTTAGAGTTCAGTGGGAAGATAGATATGGCAGGAGTTTAGATCTGTTAGGAGCAGTTGCATTGAGAAAGTATGCGTTGCTGAATGATGAGAGAAGAATGAAGATTGAGGGTGATTGCGGTATCTATATTTACAGTTCCCAGCAGGAAGATCAAGGTGATTATAAGTGTATTTTTTATAATCAGCAGTTTGAAAGTGAGGGATTAGAGTTAGGACTGAGAGTTAATGTAGTGATACTAGTGGTGATAGATGGAAATACAAGTCAAGAGTTCAAAGTCTTAGGGAGAATGGATGAATTAACAACAATGACATCAACACTTCAGCCTATTATAACAACAGTGAGAAGCAATTTAACTCCTTCAACATTGACAGTTATTAAAGCTATAAATATATCACATTTGATTACAAGGGAGCCAATCGCTCCAGCACCAATTTTAGAGGAAAAGACTGTTATTAGGGTTAGGATGGGTGATACAGCTCATCTTCCTTGTATATGTGAGAGATGGAGTGGGGGTGGTGACGTTCCTCCCACATGGAGAGATAATTATGGAGAAGAAGTGTTGTTATCAGGACCAGAAGTAGAAGCTGTGCCCCCTAGTCAAAGGAAGTATATTTTGTACAACGATATGAAGTGGAAGAGGGTTATGAGTGATTGCTCACTTATTTTGCGTAATGTTACATGGAAAGATCAGGGAGAATATATGTGTACTTATTTAGTGCAAGCATTAAAGTTTGTTCCGGCTAAGAATTATTGGTTAAAAGGCTATGTAACTTGTAAGGTGACGCTTATGATGGAAGATTTGAAGTCTGTTGAAGCTTCCACAGTCACCAAAGGAGTTCAGGAGAAGTATATTACAGTAGCCACTCCAACAGTAAATACTACACAGAGGATATCTGTAACTTTCCCACTGGAAATAGTTAAGAGTGTTAATACATCAACTACAGCAACTATTTTAATAGTAACTTTGAAAGAGATAAATCTGATTCTGAAAGAGAGGAATTTCATAGTCTGGAAGCCTACCATTGGAGGATAAGTCTAGGAGAGAAGTGGGGACTGGGACTTTTTCCATGGTATGGTGTAACATTTTTGGCAGATCATATTGATAATATTACCTATACTTTGCAGGGTTTTGCAAATGAAACGATAAGAGGGTTTAACCTTCTGTCGAATACTCAAAGAAGTCACAGACTGACGCTGTTGAAACATGACATGGCTCTTGACTATATTTTAGCAAAACAGGGTGGCTTATGTTTGGCTATGAATTTGACGGGGGATGATTGTTATACTTTGATCCCAGATAGTTCCGATAATATCACTAGTGTTATAGATGCATTGAAGAATATAAGAGATGCGTTTGGTAGATCTGAAGGAGCTGGATGGTCAGCGAAGACTTGGTTGCAAGATCAGTTAGGACCAGTGGGAGCAGTGATGGTTCAGATTTTAGTAGCAGCTCTGATAGCGTTGTATGTGATGTTTTGCTTTTGTACTTTGTTACTGACCTTTGCGAAGGCTATGATATTGAGATGGGTTGGAGTTGTGATGCCTGGAGACAACTCTCAGATGCCGTTGTTGACTGTTACTGATCTGGATGAAGATGGACAAGTGGGACTGGATGGAGTATTGATGGATAAATATCCATTTTGATTATCTGATCATTTTTCAAATGTTTTTCAATATTAGTGTGATTTTAGTATTTTGTTATGAATCAAAGGGGGGAAATAGAATGTGATTCATTTTATATATAATTTTTATATTCTTAGTTGATATTGATGTTTTAATTTGACTGTGTTGTTTTGCAAAATATACTGTTTGGTCTTTTCTTTTCTTCCAGAAGCATATGGGGGAATATGTAGAGGGGATTCAAATGCTCAAACAAGGACAATATGAAAGGACAATATGAAGGGACTGGAGGAGATGGAACAAGGAAGGTGTGGAAATGTTCCGATTCCATCATCGACGATGCATTGGAAGTCGACACTGCTGAGGAGATGAAGTGTAGTGGACTACATTCCAGTGTCTGCAATGATATATAGACATATTTGCATGTGTAATACATAATTTGTGTCATATTCTTTCTGTATTAATTTTTGTAGAATGATATTTGCTGTTATTGGGTACATGTGGGGATCTCAGATGTTTTTGTTTATTTCGTGGATGCTTAGGGATATTGGGTCTAGGCAGGGATAGAGAGAATCCACAGGAGGGTTCGATGGGTCGACCAGCCTGAATGTGGACATTTTTGATAGTATTTTGTTTGCTGAGGCTTTCATGTGTATTTAGTTGCATCATAGTTTCAAATGCATTGATAAAGATTTATGAATTGATCTGGAGTACTTAGGTGGTTGCCTGGGGCAGAGGGGCCGTGAGAGAATTTTACTGTCTTGATTGATGGATGGATATTTGGAAAGAAGGCTGCCAGACAGGTTTTTCGCTCTCACACTCCATAGAGATTTGTTCATATTTCATAGAAATGTATTCACACTCCATAGAAAAATTTGTTTTTGGTTTATTGTTAAAGATACTCAATAAGATAAATTGTTACTTGTCATAATCCTATTCTGTTTGTTTTCGAGACTTAATTTGTCTCGAAGGGGGGAAATATGTAGTGTCTGAGGAATAATGACTTTGCTAATGTTTTCAAAGTGGAACCTGAGAGGATGTTTATTCAGTTTTAGGGGGAGCAGTTTTAGAGGGACACCCCATAGAACAGAGGAAGTCTGTTGTGTGGAGACAGGTGATTGGTCAGTATGGGAAACCACCCATATCCTGGTAAAGATGATAAATACTTGGTTTGAGACAAAGAAGATCAGAACAGACATATTATTTTGGGACACTGTTCTCCAGATGCTGCAGACGTCTGTAAACTTATGCTGAAATCTTGTGATATAAATAAAACTTATATTCAAAGTACAGTATAAGCGGACTCCTTGGTTTCACAGCATAATTAGCAACGTTTACTCGACACAACACTAGCAAAATGATTGTCCGACAGCTCTGCAGCATACTTGGGCAGGCTAGCCTAGCCTAATACGACGACTAAAGACAGTAACGTTACGGGAGAAAAGAGAACTGTAGATGATTGTCTGGCTGGCTGGCTCATATTGCCTGATATATTTTTGGCTTTGTAATTTGTATTAAAATGCTCTAATCATTTTAATCTCGTTATTTCTTAATGCATTTAATGTAAAAAAATAAATAATAATAAATTGAAACCGAAAATCAAAGGCTGTCATGAGGACTTGTGTGATACAAAAAAGTTACTGTGTAACCTGCGTTCAGTTCGCTTCAACATTTGCTACATTGCGTGACGGTTTGTACTGAATGACACGTTTCCCCAGCCTTTGACAGACGTTTGCTCCCGTTTGGTGGGTGTGACCTGATCAATATGGATTGGTGTGACGATCTGAAATCGCAAATTCGTGCAGCACACCATATATAACTGCCCCCTGGGCCACCATAATCACGTTTTTCAATCGGTCGTTAAATTCGGTACGTTTGGAACCCTGTTACCAACTATCCATTTGAAATCACAAAAATAAGTCCCAACATTTAGCTTGCTCTACTTTATATGTAAGCCTAAACTACCATCTCTAATTTTTAACACTGGAATGGGTAGTTCATGGTATTTTTTTTATCAATAAAGATTAGACCATTTCAAAACATTCAAGTATGGCATGATGCCGATATGAATGGCTGCAAACATTGTCTCATCTTCATAACTGTATCAATAGCCTCAGGAGGAGGGCTATTTAGTACACTGTATGACCAAAAGTATGTGAACACCTGCTTGTTGAACATCTTATTCCAAAATCATGGGCATTAATATGGAGTTGGTCCCCCCCCCCACCCTTTTTGCTGCTATAACATCCACCACTCTTCTGGGAAGGCTTTCCACTAGATGTTGGAACATTGCTGCGGGGACTTGCTTCCATTCAGCCACGAGCATTAGTGAGGTCGGGCACTGATGTTGGGGGCGATTAGGCCTGGCTCGCAGTTGGCTTTCCAATTCATCCCAAAGGTGTTCGATGGAGTTGAGGTCAGGGCTCTGTGCAGGCCAGTCAAGTTCTTCTACACTGATCTCGACAAACCATTTCTGTATGGACCTCGCCTTGTGCCTGGGGGCATCACTGAGCTCTTCATTAAGACCATTCTACTACCAATGTTTGTCTATGGAGATTGCATGGCGGTGTGCTCGATTTTTATACACCTGTCAGCAATGGGTGTGGCTGAAATAGCCAAATCCACTAATTTGAAGGGGTGTCCACATACTTTTGTATATATAGTGTATATTTAATATCCTCATCTCCAGTTAATAGGCACATATTTAGAAAAGTATGGGGCGGCAGGTAGCTTAGTGGTTAAGAGCGTTGTGCCAGTAACCGAAAGGTCGCTAGTTCTAATCCCCAAGCCGACTAGGTGAAAAATCTGTCGATGTGCAAGGCACTTAACACTAATTGCTCCTATAAGTCGCTCTGGATAAGAGTGTCTGCTAAATGACTAAAATCTAATAAGCCCTGGCTGCAAAACATTATAGAAAAAAAGTATTTATACATTATTCCATTCAAGATTTAACTGGCATTGAGTGTCTGCAAGGTTCAACTTAATGAAAGGCAAGTCTAATACTGTGAATCATCCTCAGAGAATAAATCAAGAAATGTCTGAATAATTTGACACTTGTGCAAAATATGAATGTGCTGCATGCTTGCAAAGCTTTGTTTCAGTTGCTTCTTCAATCTCAATCCAGTCCGAACTGTAGATTTTGAGACATTTCCCAAATAAACAAATAAAAGCTGATAGGATAAACCATCTTCTTCGATGCTGATAAACACTGCCTCTGACTGATTGTTCCTTTGAACAAATCGTATTCTAACACAAAAAGGTCCCTTTTTTAAATCACTGTACAACTTTAAACCAAGCTTGACATTATTACATAAATTAAACAATATGGCTGTAGAGACAACAGGTTATAGTAGCGATAAAAAAACACTGTCCATTGATTGCCTGACCTCACAGGCAAGAACATTGCCTTGACTTTCTAATGATACGTTATGCGAGTTTCCCCAGCTTCAAAGTCGTTCCATCAGCCTTTTTGTGTTGTTGACGCAGGTAGTGCCATTCTCAGTCTCTTGAAATGTTTAAGTTGACGCTTCACATTTACTAACATCCATTTTTGTACATTCATAGGTGTCTTCAGCTGAGCTGTGAAATGTAACTGGATTTTGTGTAAACTGGTCTTCTGTATAGTGCATTTTAATCATGTTAGTAACGACATATGAATGTACTTCAGTTCTTGTATTATTTTCTTATTTTTTTAAGCCAGGAGTTCTGATTTAGAGTACCCAAGATGGCATTATTCAGTTTTCAGTATTGCTCTGGGTCTTATAGGCTTGCTTGCGGAGGTGATTCTCGATCTCCTCGCGGAACACCAGCATGCCCAGGTGGGAATGGGACGCCTCGTTCATGGCTTTGGACTGGATGCACATGCGATACTGTTCTGGAGTCAGCTCGTCTGCACACTGCTTCTCGTGCCACAGGTGGAAGAGGCCGGATACTGGCGTACGCGTCACGATCAGGTCGCTCCGCAGGTACTTCCTGTACAAGTGGACATCTTCCACACCCCAACCTTTCACTTCCAGGTCAAAACCTCCTAGAAAATACAATTGAGGGGTAGTAAGATCTCTTGTTTATAGAATTGTCACAGTAAAAATATGTAGCAAGCACACATAACAATATTTATCAGTCAACACTGCTTACCTATACTGAGGAAGTCCGAGCGGTACTGACACGTCATTCCAAAGCCAAAATCTCTCCAGAATCCAGCATCTTTCTTGTGAATCTTTACGGAAAGGACACTCGTCATTGGCGAGTTGACTAATGTCAACATTGAGTAACAATTAAATAAATATACAGTACCAGTCAAAACTTTGGACACACCTACACATTCCAGGGTTTTTCTTTATTTTTACTATTTTCTACATTGTAGAATAATAGTGAAGACATAGAAATAACACATATGGAATCATGTAGTAACCAAAAAAGTGTTAAACAAATATTTTATATTGGAGATTCTTCAAATAGCCACCCTTTGCCTTGATGACAGCTATGCACACTTGGCATTCTAGCTTCATGAGGTAGTCACCTGGAATGCTTTCAATTAACAGGTGTGCCTTGTTAAAAATTAATTTGTGGAATTTCTTTCCTTCTTGATGCATTTGAGCCAATCAGTTGTGTTGTGACAAGGTAGGGGGAGGGGGGGTATACAGAAGATAGCCCTATTTGGTAAAAGACCAAGTCCATATTATGGCAACAACAACAACTTTAAGACATGAAGGTCAGTCAATCCGGAAAATGTCAAGAACTTTAAACGTTTCTTCAAGTGCAGTCGCAAAAACCATCAAGCACTATGATGAAACTGGCTTTCATGAGGACCGCCACAGGAAAGGAAGACCCAGAGTTACCTCTGCTGCAGAGGATAAGTTCATTAGAGTTAACTGCACCTCAGATTGCAGCCCAAATAAATGCTTCACAGAGTTCAAGTAACAGACACATCTCAACATCAACTGTTCAGAGGAGACTGCGTGAATCAGGCCTTCATGGTCGAATTGCTGCAAAGAAACCACTACTAAAGGACAGCAATAATAAGAAGAGACTTGCTTGGGCCAAGAAACACGAGCAACGGACATTAGACCGGTGGAAATCTGTCCTTTGGTCTGATGAGTCCAAATTTGAGATTTTTGGTTCCAACCGCTGTGTCCTTGTGAGACGCAGAGTAGGTGAACAGATGATCTCTGCATGTGTGGTTCCCACCATGAAGCATGGAGGAGGAGGTGTGATGGTGTGGGTGTGCTTTGCTGGTGACACTGATTTATTTAGAATTCAAGGGGCACACTTAGCCAGCATGGCTACCACAGCATTCTGCAGCGATACGCCATCCCATCTTGGTATGTTCATTTGTTTTTCAACAGGACAATGACCCAAAACACACCTCCAGGCTGTGTAAGGGCTATTTGACCAAGGAGAGTGATGGAATGCTGCATCAGATGACCTGGCCTCCACAATCCCCCGACCTCAACCCAATTGAGATGGTTTGGGATGAGTTGGACCGCAGAGTGAAGGAAAAGCAGCCAGCAAGTGCTCAGCATATGTGGGAACTCCTTCAAGACTGTTGGAAAATCATTCCTCATGAAGCTGGTTGAGAGAATGCCAAGAGTGTGCAAAGCTGTCATCAAGGCAAAAGGTGCCTACTTTGAATAATCTCAAATATAAAATGTACATGATTCCATATGTGTTATTTCATAGTTTTGATGTCTTCACTATTATTCCACAATGTAGAAAATAGTACAAATAAAGAAAAACCCTTGAATGAGTAGGTGTGTCCAAACTTTTGACTGATATCTTCAGGTACTTACAAGTTGACTTTCAATGGGGGGAGCCAGCTCCAGATTCCCGTAGACTATGGCAGGATTATACAAACTGAACACCACCGGATAAAAGACTCTCTTGTCTACAAGAAGAAAACACAAAAAGGGAGGGGTTTTGCATACAGTATATTTTGGTACAAATTACATCCAAAATGCCAATAGTACACATTTAGAAAAACATCACACACTGCCTGCATTAAGTACTCATAATTTGAAGTTAGGAAACATGAATGTGTAGGCTACAATGTTTTGGTAGAAGGCACCTACTTGGATGGGTGTGAAGACGGCAGGTGTTGAGATAGTCCAGTGTGAAGTAGATATCCACATCACAGAAGAACATCAACACGTCACCCTTCTTCCAGGCATGGGCACCGATGTCCAGACCCCTGCCCCTGGAAAACTCCTCATCCACTGGGATAAGTGTGTAGTTGGAAAAGCTTGCCTCCCTACAAACCAACAATGCCATTTAAATAGAGGTGTTGTTTGAGCCCGAAACTCCCTTTTCTATAGAGCCAGCGGTAACAATCAGTCACACTCAACCAAGCAACTCAAAACATTGGGTAGATTCCTTCCTTTAGACGTCTTGACTAGAAAATAACATATGGACAAGTGAGAAATGTACAGCAGTAAAATCCCAGAAATCCTTTCTTTCATATTAAAAGACAAAACAAACCTGGACATTTTTTCCAAATAAGACTTCACCTCTTGTAAGCCCTCTTGTCCAAAGTAGACCACTGTAAGATGCACTCGCCTATCGTGTTCTATGCAAACTTCCCTGCAAACAAAAAAAGTGTTACCTCAATCTTCACAAATACTCGGCGTAGGCTGCATATTGCCCTTTTCACATGACTCACCACCACTGACCTGAAGTTGTGTAGGAACTGTGAGAATGCCTCTGTTCTGCCTGCCAATGGTACAATGATATTGATGATGACTCCGGACGTTTCTACTGACGTGCTCCTGACTTTCATTAAAGGACCAAAAGGACGGAAAAGAGTGACATGGCGGAAGTTGTCGGAGTCCGCTTTTGCAAAGAAGAGCTCGTAGAGTGTGCCTTTGTCCCGTTCTGTTCTGTATAGCCCTGCCCACATAAAGGGTAAACATCAGTTTTGTCAAACATAGGGAACAAATATTGTTAAACTTTACAGGCTAGATTACATACTTTTTTGCAGGCATTAAACAAGCAGATAGTGATCTGCATCAGGGGTTCCCATGCTGGACCTCAGCCCCTCCACATACACGGAGTGTACAAAACATTAGGAACACCTTCCTAATATTGAGTTGCACCCCCTTTTGCCCTCAGAACAGCCTCAATTCGTTGGGGCATGGATGCTACAAGGTGTCGAAAGCGTTCCATAGAGAAGCTGGCCCATGTTGACACCAATGCTTCCCACAGTTGTGTCAAGTTGGCTGGATGTCCTTTGGGTGGTGGATCATTCTTGATACACACGGGAAACCGTTGAGCTTGAAAAACCCAGCAGCGTTGCAGTTCTTGACACACTCAAACCGGTGTGCCTGGCACCTACTACCATACCCCGTTCAAAGGCACTTACCGTACATTTTTTGTCTTGCCCATTCACCCTCTGAATGGCACACATACACAATCCATGTCTCAATTGTCTCAAGGCTTAAAAATCCTTCTTTAACCTGTCTCCTCCCCTTCATCTACACTGATTGAAGTGGATTTAACAAGTGACATCAATAAGGGATCCTAGCTTTCACCTGATCAGTCTGTCATAGAAAGAGCAGGTGTTCCTAATGTTTTGTACACTCAGTGTATTTGGCAGCACTAGCACATCTGATTCAATTGGTCAATTTATCATCAGACCCATAATTAAATCAGCCATGCTAGTAGTAGAATAAATCATATGTGGAGTGGCTGGGGGGGGGGCCCGAGGATCAAGTTGAGAACCACTGTTATACATTACCCCAGTATAGCGCTCTTACCCTCAGTAAAGTGGCTCTCGGTGTAGGTCTGTCTCTGCATGGGCACATCATCCTCCTGGCCATCCTCCTCGTCAGGGTTGTTTATGACGTCCAGGGCTGCCTCAATGACCTCCACCAGCTCATCCCTGCGGTCCTTCCGCACAGGCTTCTCCTCTGGGTGCCTGGTCAGCCCCATCTCCAGCTGATACACCTTACTAGAGGTGAAGCTCTCGAAGGGGACCAGGGCGTACTCGCTGGGCAGCCGTGCTCCAGTGTTCACCTCGGCTTTGTCGATCTGGGAGTGGAGGAACTCAAGGAGATCCCCAGGCTCCTGGTCCTTGGTCTCAACCAGCCCCTGGACCCCGGGACCTTCCTTTCTGTCCTGGAGGACCTTGAGCTTCTCACTCATCTCCTGGAGCTCCTGCTTGAGCTGGGCAATCTGCCGCTTGAGGCTGACGGCGCGGCTTAGGTGCCGCTCCTCCTGCTCTTGCAGCAGTGCCTGGTAGTACTCCTTTCCATGGGACTCCCCTCCCAGGCCAGGCAGGACCAGGCTGACATCAGCTGGGGGAGTGCACTCCAGCAGGTAAGCAAAGAGGAGGAGGACCAGCAGCAGGAAGAGCCCCAGGAGCATCCAGCGCATCCGGCCCTGCAGCGGCAAGCTTCGCCTGGGCATCACACTCGCATGCGGTCTATGGGCGACAAGTCTGCATTTCCCTTCACGTCAGGTAAATCTACTTTAAGATGGACAGAATTAGGTCCAATGCATATTCTAGGATTGTTAAAAAGTTCCCTTTAATTAACAAGTTAGATTAACAACTCAAGTTGGACATTTGTTCGAGTGCAGCTATAAAAAGCTATTTTGTTCATTCATGTCACATCATTCAGATAAAGTCAGGAACACCTCTGGTGTGTCTTGTTTGATGGGGAGTTACATTGTGAGTGGAATCCATTTTCATATCTTCCATCAGTGTGTATTTAGAACCTTTAGAAGAAAATGCAAATCAGTCATCAATATGCTGACAAAAAATTATTCAAGAAAATAAATGCTGGTCCAATAAATGCAATGTTGACCTAGCTATGATTTCAAGAGGAACTTGAGTTTCATGATGTTTTACTAGGTACTATGAGCTAACTAGAATATACTTTCTTCTGAACCACTTTCCCTCAATGTGATTTTTATTTAAGACTCAATCTCAGGGCTTTGTCATACAAAGCAGCAATGTCTACTACTATTCTGCTAGCAGGACTAACGATGACGTCACTTTCTTATGGTAACCTTCAAAATAAAAGCCTGCATTTCAAAACATTGCAAGGTGGATAACTAATTCAAAAGAGATTACATTTTAATCAATTATGACTTGTCTTGTGCTTATAAGCAAATGCAAGAAGGAATTTATGGAGGAAAAAAATAGATATTTTTTTAAAAACATTTTAAGACCACTATTGAAAAATACAATGTTCAGACTGGTATGTTGAGAATATTGGATTATAGTGAACAAACTATTATTTGTGCAGATGTAAAAGTGGGGTTGGGAGTGCTCAGTAGGGTCTGAAGAATCTACAATGCCTACAGAAATTATTCACACTCCTTGACTTTTTCCACATTTTGTTGTGTTACAGCTTGAATTTAAAATGTATTTAATTGAGATGTGTTGAGATGTGTTGTCACTGTGTACACAATACCCCATAATGTCAAAGTGGAATTATGCTTTTTGACATTTTTACAAATTAATAAAAAATGAAAAGCTGAAATGTCTTGGGTCAATAAGTTTTCAAACCCTTTGATATGGTAAGCCTAAATAAGTTCAGGAGTAAAAATATGCTTAACAAGTCACATAATAAGTTGCATGGACTCACTCTGTGTGCAATAATGGTGTTTAACATAATGTTTTTATTACAACCTCATCTCTATACCCCACACATACAATTATCTAATGTCCCTCAGTCGAGCAGTGAATTTCAAACACAGATTCATCCACAAAGACCCAGGAGGTTTTCCAATGCCTCGCAAAGAAGGGCACCTATTGGTTGATGTGTAAAAATTAAAAAACAGACATTGAATATCCCTTTGAGCATGGTGAAGTTATTAATTACACTTTGGATGGTGTATCAATACACCCAGTCACTACAAAGATACAGGTGTCCTTCCTAACTCAGTTGCCAGAGAGGAAGGAAACCGCTCAGGGATTTCACCATGAGGCCAATGGTGACTTTAAAACAGTTGCAGAGTTTAATGGCTGTGATAGGAGAAAACTGAGGATGGATCAACAACATTGTAGTTACTCCACAATACTAACCTAATTGACAGAGAGAAAAGAAGGAAGCTTGTACAGAATAAAAAAATATTCCAAAACATGTATCCTGTTTCCAACAAGGCACTAAAGTCATACTGCAAAAAATTTGTCAAAGCAATTTACTTTTAGTCATTAATACAAATGTTATGTTTGGGGCAAATCCAATACAACACATTACGAAGTACCACTCTCATATTTGCAAGCATAGTGGTGGCTGCATCATGTTATTGGTATGCTTGTAATCGTTAAAGACTGGGGAGTTTTTCAGGATAAAAAAGAAACGGAATGGAGTTAAGCACAGGCAAAATCCAAGAGGAAAACCTGGTTCAGTCTGCTTTCCACCAGACACTGGGAGATTAATTCACCTTTCAGCAGGACAATAACCTAAAACACAAGGCCAAATACACACTGGAGTTGTTTACCAAGAAGACTGTGTGAATGTTTCTGAGTGGCCGAGTTACAGTTTTGACTTAAATCTGCTTGAAAATCTATGGCAAGACTTGAAAATGGTTATCTAGCAATGATCAACAACCAATTTGACAGAGCTTGACGAATTTTGAAAATAATAATGTTGCACAATCCAGGAGTGGAAAGATCTTAGATACTTAACCAGAAAGACTCACAGCTGTAATCGCTGCCAAAGGTGATTCTAACAGGTATTGACTCTGGGTTGAATACTTATCTAATCAAAATATATTAGTGGGGTTTTTTTCATGTTTTTTTTTTTTACAAGTGTTAGAATTTTTCCACTTTGACATTACAGAGTATTTTGTGTAGATCGTTGACAGAAAATTACAATTAAATCCCATTTTGTAAAACAACATAATGTGGTAAAAATCAAGGGGTGTGAATACTTTATGGTGTTATTTCATGAGGGCACTGAATAATACAGAGTATTGCTGACCTTTTACTACACCCATTCCATAGGCCACAACACAAATCACTGTATTTGAATTATATATTGGCTTATATTTAAAAAAAATATATATATATTTTAACATTTTAGTCATTTAGTGACGTCATCATTCTTTGTGCTGACGTAAAAGTGGTGTTGGGAGTACTTTTTAGCTTACCCTGTTCGCTTCCATTGTGTAATAAAATGCCATTCCATTCTACCGACTTCCATGCACACTTGCCTTGGCCTAACTGAGGTGCCAAGTACTGATTATAAGTAGGTGATTAGTTGAGAAGCCAACTGCTTCAAAGACACAATGAAAACAATGATGGACTGGCATACTTCTTAACAACCTAAATTAACCTAATGCTGATTGCTGGCTGCATCTAGGCTTTATACATTTAAATCAGCCCAAGGCCAGCCTTAACATGTGCCAGAAATTGCATCAGAAAAATTGCTTGGCCTGACAAATAAAATATTTAGCCTCTAGGACTTGGGTTTTGGACTGAAAGTCACAGGAATCTGTGTTCTGGTTTTTGGCGATTGTGTGAACATTTTCTTTGCCTCCTCATAAAATATGTGCTCACTAGGAAATGCCTAAATTCATGGATAATAAATAATAATAATATGCCATTTAGCAGACGCTTTTATCCAAAGCGACTTACAGTCATGATCGTATAGCCCATCTCTCCAATTGTCATTTGTAAGAAAATACAAGTTATTATTACTTTGCCTTTGTCTTATTAGAAGTCCTGTCTTATTTAAAGCAGCAATCAGAAGTAGAAACACTTGTTTCAGTAAAAAGCTGAGGGATGGGGCTGGAGAAATGTACCACTCTCAAATTCATAGACAGAGCTAGGGATACAAGGACTGACCATCCATGATATCAAATTTATAGTTTTAACCATGTTTTGCAGCTATATATTGTTTGTTTACATTTACTTTTTTTACAAAAATTTGAGTAAAACAAACTTTTATTTTGGGATCTGATTAGGTATGACAGTTGAAATAAGCTCATAAGGCATTCATCAGTTGCATTCTTTAAGAATCAATGGGTACATATCATTCACTTATAAGTCAAAAAATGGATGTAGCAACTGCTGATTGACTCTTTAAATGATAAGGGCAATTCCATGTGAGCGTGGACTGAAGATATATTTGGTATCTCAGATTGTTCAGGTAATTCTCACATATAAACTTCATCAGGAGGAAGGATGTTTGACATGCTTTTTACATTTCTATCACAAACCATTTTTGAGAAGATGAGTGGACATTTTAGGCTCTTTTTTGACCTAAAAACACCTCCTGTCAGACCCTATGATCCGTGAACCGTGTAAGATTTAGATTAATGGTATAATTCCAAACAGTTTGTGTTATCAGGTAATTCACTTGGAGAAGGTGTCACCACACCCAATGATGGTGAGGAATCACGTTTGGTATGACAGGAACTATCAAAGCAATTAACATACAAGTAGAACATGCTAATGATCAGAACGGTTCTTCAGGTTGGGGCATAGATCAAACAGGTAGACCTAATGCTGGACCCAGAGTTAGGAACATGGCTACACTGCAGCAAAAGATTTCGATAACTAACCCAAGATAGACCACAGCCTGTTGTTTCCAATGGGAACAAGTGAGTCATAGTGGGCAGAACAAGCAAGGTGGTGGGCAGAGCCAAGCACGAGCTAGTGAGATTCTATTGGTGCGTTCTAACATATATTTGCATATTTCCATTAGGGAATGCCTACTCTGTGAAGTGCGCGTGTGCAATAACTCAATTCGCCTTTGCGCTCCTTCTGAACAATGCAATTTTTTTAAAACTTTGGCAAAGAGTTAAGTCTACAAAACTTTGTCCACTCTGTTCGTAACATATTCTAGTTTTGGGAACAGATAACTTTATTGAGATCAAATGTTTCATCGATGAGAAAATGTGCAGAATGACGGCCAAAATCCATCTCGTTCCATCTTCTCCCACTGCCGGCCACTGGGCTTCCTCTCACTACCATATTTGGTAGTGAGTGGAAACCCCAAGCGGATGCTTCACATTTATACATCCAGTGAAATATCTGTCTCATTGTTCTATCTGTGCTGCTACAGCAGCACTCCATATTATTCAGTGCCCCATGAAATGACACCATATATAGACTCTACTGAGTACTCCCAACCCCACATTTACATCGGCACAAATATTTGTTTTTTTTACTATAAGCCAATATGTATTTCATATACAGTGAATTGCATTGCAGTGAATGGAGTGGGTGGAGTAAGGAGTCACCAGCGCGCTGTATTAAACCTGTTGCCCAGCACAATAGACCAATTTTAAGTTTTGTAGACGATTGAGTAATTCCAATGACATATATTTGTATTTAATTAAAAGTGTATTTCTTTACATAACAATTAATAACACTACACAATAGCTTTCAACATACCAGTATTGGTGTAAACTTTCTAAAGAAATGTTGATATAAATATTACAATATTAAAAGTACGTCAAATTATCCAAATTTATTTTTTCAAAGGTGGTTGCAATGCTGTGAAAAACAGTTGTATTGCACTAGAGTGCAAAAAAGAAATCGACTTTCCCAAACTTTAGGATGTCTTTGTAGTGGGACTATTATTTTGAAAAATAATTCCGCGATCGTGTTGCCAGCATAATATCCTGCTGCCAGGAAAACGGTAATGCAATGTCTGCTTATGTAACTGCTACCTCTAGGAAGATAGCTAGCTAACAAACTACACAACAATGTTAGCCGAGCCTATGAGCTTGTGGCTAGGTAGCTAACAACCAAACTACAAAGGGAACCAGAGTTGGCTAGCTGGGAAGCTAGCTAACGCCTACTAGATACGTGTAAACAACGGCTTGCTTTGAGCTGGTACAGTGGCATTGTTGTGTAGCTAGTTATATAATCAACAAATATTTGCTTCGAAAAGTAAATAAGATTTTTTGCAAACACTTACTCATATAGTCAGACCTCCTTGCAAGGAATAAAAAGCAGTAACATCAAAAGGGATGCTAAACAACGCCACGGAGCAAAGTGGACTGATCGAAAAAACGATACTTCCGGGCGTCCAAGGCGTTTCTGTAGCTACTTCAAAATAAAAGTTCATACATTTGCAGAGCGGAATAGGCGAAATCTTCATAAACATCTAAACGTTTTAAAACACAAGTGAAAGACATGACACAACCAGCACTGAATAAAAGACAACTAAAGTTAATCAATCAATTATTAAAGTTAATTAAAAGTGTAATAAAAGCAAGTGCATTTAGATGGAGCCTTATTTCCCATTCCCTTCCAGGCCACTTTTAACATCTGAAAATACAATTATGTACATATCTACCTCAAATACCTCAAACCCCTGCACGGTGATAGGGTACTGGCACTGGTACTCCCTGTATATAGCTTCATTCTTGTGTATTTTATACCTCTTGTGTTACTATTTTTATGTTTCACTTTTTTCTATTCTGCATAGTTGGGAAATAATCATTTCACAGTAAAGTCTACACCTGTTGTATTCAGTGCATGTGACATACAATTTGATTTCGTCTGAAACAATTGTGTCCTTGTTTGTACAGTTTATAAGCTAAATCATCTCTTGGAGCATGAAAGGTGTGCATTTATCTACTCCAACAAATATAGTTGTTGCATGACGGGATGGCTATAACCTCTAGCATTGGGCAGCAAGTTCAGTATGTCAGGTCATGTTATTCTATCTAGACAATGGCTGAATGACAAAGACTGAATAACAGTGGTAAATATCCTTCATTAAATGCTTGGATAGGACTGTCATTAAAAGCTAAATCTCTTTCTGTCAGGGCAAATCAAGGAGTTCATTATGGCACAGAAACCATTTTACATCCCCTAAAATAATGTTATATTGTGCAGACCTTGAGTTACCATCATGATAATACAGTTTTGCTGCACACATGTTCTGGTTAATAATTCTTTGGCATCCCAACCATAGTCTAGGTCTAGGAAGTTCACATGGAAAGTTGAGGTTCAGGTTAGACTTGTTTGAATTGAGACTTCCCTCCCTGCCCTCCTCCAATGACAACTACTACTACATTAAACCGATCTTAAAGACTAACAGACACACACAAAATATGTTTTATTAAATAATAAGGTAATCTAATTCTGCCAAGCATGCCTTACTGAAAAAAGTCATGTTCTGCCTGTTTGAAATAAAGAAGGATAATTCACAATGTGCTTCTATTATTTATAACATTATTACAGCTGATGAGAGAAAGAGAGAAGGGGAGGCTGTGAAATATAAATAGACTGCACATATTTGAACTTTTTATTGATTGCAACATAATCATGTAATAACAACATAACAATTAATAACACTAATTTGTTTTCAAAATCATAGATAATTGTTGCACAAAGATTGCCATTATGAGGAATCAAATGGCGAGCTGCAGTTTTGACATTCCCACATTTAATATTTATAGTCTCACGTCCTAACAACACAGTAGCACTCACTTTTGATACTTTTGGTGTAAAATAAAGAACATATTCAACTAAACATGGTTCTCTTATTTTCTTTGGCAAGTATACTTGGAAATGTTAAAGGGGAATGACAAAAGTGGCTTTTACATTACAAGGAACATGATCCTATCAAGTAGAAACTTTGCAGCTTTTCTGGATGAACTCAGTGTCCACTCTTTGTCCACCTTAACCTTACAGGTCTACTACATTATAGGACAGGTGATGGTACAGAAGTCCCCTTTAATTCCTTGGCTGGAAACAAGATCTTCAGAGTCGCATACTACTAATTAGAGGCTATCGTAGAAGCGGCACAGGCACTTGAAAGACATTAACATTGACATACAACCTGGTACACGGTCATGCAATGATACTTGGCCAACATGACCTTGAGGTAATGATTAACATACCGAAGATCTGCTTGAAGCAAGGTCTATGCAATTCCAGCCATTTTGCAGCAAATGTAGTTTTTAAATCCACCAGTTTTAACTTAGAATACCCGTGCAACAGAAATGAAAGGGAACCAACTTTAGATTGTATATGTACAGTTTTTATATAAATATACACATCTACCCATTTAGGAATCGTGATTTTCTACAATAGTTTTTGCTTTTAACTATCCAGCTTGTCCACAATTTTTGCGGGTGAAGGCAAAGCCATCCAGTTTGCATAAACACTATCATTGGCATATCTTGTAAAGACTGGGTTAGTGGCATCAAGTCTGTTGAGCAGTACCGGGCTCTTCTCAGGCCAGTTCGGGTATGACATGCCTAAAAATGAGAACATATCATTTTTCTGCACTGAGTAAAGAAAAAGTAGAGTGCAGACAGTAAGGCTCTCAAAAAGAAACTCAGTTTTTCCCCTTTACATTTTTGACAGAAGTGAATTATAGACTGATGTTTGACTATGACATAGGAACATAAGGCTATCAATTTAGAATTATATGAAGAAATCACGTCACAGACAATAATGGTGTCCATAGTTCCTGTACAGTTTAACTGAGAATTTACTGGATTGATTAAATACGATTAAAAGAAAAATAACACAACAATTATTGGTACATTATTGGTAATGTATGTCATGATCTCTAAAGGTTTTCCTTGGCTCATGCACCATTGATAATTGTTTTCTCAATATAAAGCAGATACAATAATTGCATCACTGTAACAGGACACATGGACACCAAGTTACTGTCTGTTCATGGTAACTATGTCACTGGCAGCCATCTTATTGCTAAATACTTTTATGAACTATCAACTGGAAGTGCTTAGTATCAGTGGGATTTGTTTGGGAATTTGTTATGACATACTTTTAGAAAGTATTGTTTATCAATGTTAGCCAAGAGTTTAATTGAAAAGCCTTACTGTTTCTCTATTCAGCATTGTAGAAACAATCTAGATGCAATAATATGTAGCCTATATACACACAAACAATTCAGATAACTTAAGACAGTTTGGAATCCAAACGAAATAGATAATGATTAATTCAGCAAGGACCTGTTTCAAATGTCAAACTGTTTTTGAACAGTATTTTCCAAATTAATACAAAAAATTAGGAATGTTGGAATGTGTTTTGAAAATGTTTATGTCATTCAAAATGGATGAGTGTCCTAATAATCATATAAATATGTGGGAATGAATGTGGATTACAATATGTTAAATAAGGGAATGTTATTATAGAAATGTTTACTATTTACAGATGTGTCGTTATTTTGTTCAGGTTTCATGTACATCAGAAGCAGGTCCAAATAGTAATCATCAGACACAAGATTCTCTTTTTCCACTGACTCTCATTTTCTAAGAAATGGGAGACTTTTTCAGGAAGCATGCCTAGATCACAGTCACACACGGTCTACAGGAAGACAATCACAACATGTCAAAAAGAGAGCTTGTGTGTCCTGTCTCTAAAATCGAGTAAATGCATGGGAAATTCTACCATAAAGCTTGTTTTCAATCCATGTGGAGGGAATGGTTCGAGGGAGAGGGGCGTTATTACAGTCCACTAGGGGTGTGTCCTCTTCGGAGAGGGCGTCGTCGTAGAGCAGGGCGTCGGCTGGCGTGGATGCCGCCAGGTCCAGGTAATCCTGACAACAGGAGAGGAACACCTGATATGGCTAATCACTAATGACAGGAAGGTGGAGCATAATGCTAATACAGTCATATCCTACCATGCAGTTATGACCTAACTTAACCTCACAAATAGTTATGATCGTAGCTAACTGGCGTAAGAGGTCCAATGACAGATACTTGATAGGAAACAGAAAATATTAGAGCAATATATTTCCTACTTGTGTGTGAGATAAAAAGTACTAAAAGTACTCTGTTTCAAATCCTAAACATATCCTTCACATTTTTGCACTGTATTTGGCATCCCCCAAATTACACTATTTGGCCTCTTTACCTCAACACAAAACTAACTGCTAACTTGTAATTATAAGTTTTGCACATGTTGCCCAGGGCCATATTTTGGGGACGTTCACCAGACATTGGTTAAACATATTGTTGGACATAAGACTAATCATGTGTTGTTTACTCCATTTATAACAGTGTCCTGTATATGTACTGTAACTACCAGTGAACAGTGTAACGACCACTTTAGACAGAGAAAGAGTGTTGGTTGTTTTGCTTGATCCTACCCGGTTTTTCACCATCATCTTCTCCAGTTCTTTGCTGATTTCTGCAAATATGGGCCTTTTGTCTGACTCCTGTTTCCAGCATCGAAGCATAAGATTATACCTGCAGAAACACATTCATACACCACCTTATGGTCAGAAGCAAAAAATTAACTAAAGGGATGGTTTACCTACAATTTACAATAGATCACTACAACATCAGAATAAATAGGGGTGGATTTGCTGCTGGTTTGTCAAGTCATGGATGTCATTACCATCAGTGTGTAATAGAGTTACAGTGAGTTTTACTGTGGGTACAATGAAGCTGGGGCAAAGTAAAGTGGCACACATACATTTCCTCAGTGCAGTTCTCTGGTTTCTCCATCCTGTAGCCAGTCTTGAGGAGGTTAAAGAGGCGTTCAGGGGCGATGCCTGGGTACGGGTTTCCGCCCAGTGTCACAATCTCCCACAACAGCACACCAAAGGACCAGCTGGCAGGAGACAGAGAAGAACACCACATGAATAGCACCACCTAATGCATGGATGAAATAGTGATTCTGATGTTTGCTGTATGGTTTATCCGAGTGCAATTGAGTAGGTTGGTTTTTGATCATGCAAACATTGTTGGTTATGGATATGGACATATGTATAACAGATGTTTTAAGTTGATTGTGCAAGGTACTCACACGTCACTTTGTGTTGTGTAAATGTGATCAAACAAGGACTCTATTGCCATCCATTTAACTGGGATTCGACCCTGAAAAAAGGAGACAAAAAAGAAGAAAATGGAAATTGTGATGTCAGTTCTGTTAAAGAAATGTTTGGTCACACTTTATCTGGATAGTCTGGATTATCCATCTGTAGATGTTCTACAGATGGTCATACTATCAAAAACTATCTGTTGATAAGCAACTGCTTTCTAAGGTTACGGTTCGGGTTAGGGTTAGGTTTAGAATAAGGGTTAGGGAAAGGGTTAAGTTTAGGGTTAGGATAAGGGTTAAGGTTAGGGTTAGAGCTAGGGTTAGGGTTAGTAGATAGTTAGTTGAAATGTCACTGATAGTCTGTAGATAGTCTGTAGAGCATGGGTTCCCAAACGTTTTTGGTCCGTGACCCCATTTTGATATCCAAAAATGTTTGCGACCCCATCATGTAAAACAAAGTGATGTAATCAACGGCCAATGTTTAACAGAAACCACTCTGTTTATTACAACCACATCTAGCGGCTACCGGAGGTTACTGACGTAACCCCGGTTCTATGAACCAAGCGCAATTTTGTAACATTTATTTAAGTTTCTCTTGCGACCCATTTTCAAATGTCACGACACCTAATTTGGGAAACACTGCTGTAGAGCATCTACAGATGGAGTATCCAAATAAAGTGTTAACAAAATTATAATAGATTAAAAAATAATTGAGACAATTTCGAAAAAACTATATAATTGAGAGAAACTATTTAAAAAAGTACTTGGGTATTTGACATTTGGGATCCCTACCTTGCTCCTCTTCACATAAGAGTCTTCCTCATACACATCCCGGGACAAACCAAAGTCAGAAATCTTCATCTTACGCCCCTCTGCAACTAGGACATTTCTTGCAGCGAGGTCCCTGTGAACAAGCTATTGGAAGACATTAGTCAATACAAGCTTCTTACAGCCACTCAAGCTCATCTCCTTTCTTTACAAAACACTGAGTCACATTGACCTTGAGCTAGGTTTAGCATGGAATTCATACTACAGGTGAATCCTAACTTCCAGTTCAGTCACATTTTCACTGAGTCATGCATTGATGTCAACTGGAGACTAATTGAACATTTGACTTACCGGTAAGTGGAAGTGAGGATTCGCCCAATAGTGAATATTTTGAAAGTAATTGCTATACAGGCACCTTCATTTCAGCCAGGTACTGCATACCCCTGGAGATCTGCCAGGCGAAGGAGATCAGGTCGCCCATGGTGAGTGCCCTCTCATCTGGGTTCTCCAGGTAGCTCGAGTTGCGGTTGGCATCGTTGCCCGACATGTAGCTGGGTCCTACCTTTCGGCTCTCACGCAGGAAGTTGCGCAGTGACCCATATTTGGCATATTCTACAATCAGGTACATTGGACCTAGATGGAGAGACACACCACTTTAGAACACACACTTGGCCCGACAGTGTCTGGGTGTTTTGAATGAAAGATGCATCAGAAATGTACCAGGTATAACACCAGAAGGTTAAGCATTGCAAGGACATCATGTTTTCATTAATAACTGGGTCCACAATTTATTGTACAACAACCTCATGATGACTTTGAGTATAATTTGATCAGACTGGGCCTCTGAGGCATTGCTACCATAAAGGACGTGATCTGAAGGCATTATTCTCATGTCACACACATCTCCATTGGTGAAGGTACAGTCAGTCAACAACATTGATACCCTCCAATGGTGGATTAGGGTTAGTAGGTAGTTATTTGAAATGTTACTGATAGTCTATAGATAGTCTATAGAACAGGGGTTCCTAAACCTTTTCGGTCCGTGACCCCAGAGTGGCTCAGAGTGGTTGGGTATGAAGCCTTACCATCCTGGCTGCAAGCTCCGAACATCTTGATGACGTGTGGATGGTTGACTTGCTTCAGTAAGGTGAATTCTGACAGGAGGTCACGCAGTTCACTATGTGAGGCGTGGTCTGTTGCAAAATAAAAGAGGGAATCATGAAATACTTTCATAAAATACTTCACCTTACATCGATCATGGTCTGGCCAAAATTCACATCATAAAAATGGCTCTTTTACTGTATATTCAGTATACACACCTAGGGACTTACTCACTGCATGACAACAATTGTTCCTATTGTCTGCTCTAGTCTTACCTTTAAGCATTTTCACAGCTACTGTAGTGTAGCCAGCCTTTCCTTTCAGCCGGAATGCAGTCGCCTTGACAACCTTCCCAAACTCCCCTTCTCCTAAGGTTTTACCCAGCACCAGGTTTTTGCGTGGAAATTCCCATTTGGGATCCTCCTGTTAAAGCAATTAAGCAACACTTTAAAAAAACGTCACTGTTGCTGGGAATTTTGGGAAAGTTTCAGAAATTTGGCAAACATCGTATTAGCCAAGACCTTACAGGTATTTTGAAGGTGTCAATGGCCACTTGGTTCTCCATAGAGTCCAACGAGCCACGGCGCACATTGTTAGCAGAATAGCTGATGGGGTAGGACTGTGCGGGCCGCCGGAAGGTCATCTCAGCCGAGGCGATAGGGGGCTTGGGGGAGTTCTTGTGGTAGCGATGGATGAAGTAGGAGGACAGGAGGATGGAGACGATGAAGGAGAGCAGCACGGCGGTGGCAATGATGGTCTTGCAGACGTCGTCACACATGGCCTCTGGATCAGACAGGGTAGAAGGGGTCAGGGGTCAAAAAGAGACACCATGTAAACCATCCTTAGACAACAAAGTGCAAACTGTAATTTCAGCTTTGATTGAAAGATCATATCTTGAAATATCTCTATTTGGAATGGTGTTTCATTACCTATATGGGGGGTATTATGGGTCAATGCATGGGAACAACTCACCCTCTACATCATCCTTCTCACAGAAGCATTTTTCAGAGTAGCAGTAGCAGGTTCCATAGCCTGCTCTGATGCCAGACATGATGCCCTCCTCATGACCTCCGATAATGGGTTCAACTGAGAGACACAAACACATTTAAATCTATTGAATTCAACAATAATAATTAAAAAAAGGTTTACAATGAAAAACCACTTGAAATACTGTCAGAAAAATGTGGAAAGTATAGAAACATACGTTTTCACGAAGGTCGATAAATATAAATGACTGCAAAAGATTGAGATATTTCTTACTTGTGCAATCCTGAGGACATATTGACGTGTCTTTGCTTTCGACTGCATCACAAAAGCCATCAGGGCACGTGCGGAGGTCAGGGGAGCAGGTGGAATAGCTTTCTGATATTCCTGAAAGATAGAGGAAAAATATAATAGTTAGTTAAAATAAAAAGAGTTAATTGATAGAAGAAACCAACAATATCTGGATAGCATCATTTCCTGTGTCCATCAAATATTCGAATTATGCACAGTGTGGATACCTTTTTCAGAGCCCTGTCTCCATTGGCACCTCCCTGTGGTAGCCCCTAGGCCTCTGATGTTCTCACAGTCCCCACGCTTTCTCCCCTCTGCACAGGAGAGGAACTGCTGGTCCTCTAGATCCTGCTTATCAACTACACAACACAAACACAAAGTTCATGAAGACAACACACATGTTCACTGTGTCAAGCAAGATCTCGGACTTGAACCAAGCTATGGATCAGGTATGTCTCTACTACACTACTGCTTTTTCATAATTCTAGAGAAGTATACAACAAAAGGTCTCATATTATGAGGAATGAGCCTTGAAAAAGGGACAAATACTACGACATCCATATCAGGAGGTCAGACAGATCTGACGACTTCCAAATATGGATGCCATATTACTCATTCAATGGTAATCTCTGTGGCCAAAAGCATCTGTCTTGAGTATTGCTGGGAAAATACTTACTATCTCAGGAGTGTACTTACTATCGCTATCGAGCACAATGAGGATCTGAGTGCTAGCCTGCAGCTGATTCTGCTGCTCTTGAGCAATGACCACGTACTGCAGGTCCTGGCACTCTGGCCTGCGGAGAGCCACTGTGTCGTTCACATACAGCACCCCAGCCATGTCCTTGAAGCTCTGTGTGATGCTAATCGCTGCGAAGCATGACTGTGTGTTACCTGACACATTTTTGTCTGTCTTGTCTGCTACCGCTAGCCGGTATATGACTTTGATGCCCCGGAACTTCAGGCAGTTGTCCACACAGATCCTACCGACCTAAAATGAGAAGGAACATAAATCATACAGGGAAAATGCTACAGTTATATTGGGTTGAAACAGAGCTTAGGCAGTGGTCTAGGATATTGCTGATCTTTCAAATAGCCTACTAAAACTCACAGATTGTTTTAATGGCATTTCAGCACATTTATCCTCCACAGTGAAATAGTATTATCTTAAAAGAGTTGTCTGCTTAATAAGCATTTTATTAGCAGTATCCCTGTTCTCAAGCAAAGAGGGCTGCATGTGAACAATAGGTACCTGGGCGTAGACATTAGCTCTACGTGTTGTGGTGAAGAGGTATGTCACATTGGTGAAGCGGATGGGGACAGGTAAGATGGTGATATTGTAGTGCAGCATCACAGTTCCCTCTGGACCTGGGTATGTGGTGTCATTGACCAGGTAATCCAGCTGGAAGGTCCTATTCTCGGTTACAGACAAATGCTTCTTTAGTGCAAGCCCTAGATACCACACAAAGGGAGGTGGGAACAGGGGGGAAGTGTTGTTTATTTAATGAGTCGATTTTGTGAAAGTTTGTCACATTAAGGGCTAGTTTGCCAGACACATATTAAACATTGTTGTAGACTGAAAAGCGACCAGTGGTGGAAAAAGTACCCAATTGTCGTACTTGAGTAAAAGTAAAGATACCTTAATTGAAAATGACTCAAGGAAAAGTGAAAGTCACCCAGTAAAATCCTACTTGAGTACAAGTCTAAAAGTAATTGGTTTTAAATGTACTTAAGTATCAAAAGTAAATGTTATTGCTAAAATATACTTAAGTATCAAAAGTAAAAGTAAAAGTATAAATCATTTCAAATTCCTTATATTAAGCAAACCAGACGGCACCATTTTCTTGTTTTTTAAATTTACGAATAGCTAGGGGCACGCTCCAATACTCAGACATCATTTACAACCAAAGCATGTGTTTAGTGAGTCCGCCAGATCAGAGGCAGTAGGGATGACCAGGGATGTTCTCTTGATAAGTGTGTGAATTAGACCATTTTCGTGTCCTGCTAAGCATTCAAAATGTAATGAGTACTTTTGGGTGTCAGAAAATGTGTGGCGTAAAAACTACATACTTTTCTTTAGGAATGTAGTGAAGTAAAAGTAAAAGTAGTCAAAAATATAAATAGTAAAGTAAAGTGCAGATACCCCAAAAAACGACTTAAGTAATACTTTCAAGTATTTTTACTTAAGTACTTTAAACCACTGAAAGCAACTAGGCTTAATCTGTGTCTGGGAAACCAGCCCTAAGATTGTGTAACTGGACAACTCACAGAACTCATGAACAGTGCCTCGGACGTTGCCAAAAATGGCCTTCTCTTCTTTGAAAGAGTGTTCTATGGTGAACATCTCATTTATCCATGAGTCATTGGTCATCATATTTCCGACAAATCTGTTCTGACTCTGGTCTTTGGGATACCTGGGGGTTGTGTCTCTATCATAGACAAACAAATTGCCAAAAGAACTTCCCTGAAAAACAACAAGAACAACAGTGGTATCAATTATACATTTATAGTAATATACTGATATACAGTATGGTAGTAAAGTAAAGCAATGCAAAGTTAAATAAAGTCACCTCCATGCGATCAAACTCAAGCACCACATCCTCTGTGTCTGTTTCATTGACATACGGTGCATTGTCATCCTCGTCGTAGATGTTGATATGTAGTGTAACAAAAAACTTTTCTATCATTGTGTCAGTCTGCACTGTGCAGACCAGCATGGGACTGTACATCTCTCTCTCCTCGCGGTCCAAAGGAGCAGTCACTACCAACTCAGTGGTGTTGTCGTTTACAGCAAATGGGGTTGGAACATCTAGAGCCAAAAGGAACATGAAGAGGGGATGTAAACAATATATGTTAGTCTCATGTTGCCAGACTTTGTAGTTTCATATTCACTGAGCGACAGGAGCAGCAATGAAAAAGACAATTGGAACGAAAAATATTTCTATAAGAGTAAGAACATGGGGTAACCTCACCATACAGGGTTAGTAGGGACCTGCCAAGTGTCTGAGGTTTCTCATAATATCATGTACAGACACAGTGTGGGTGAATGGAGTGTAGCATGACTAACCTGATTCCACACTGTAGGAGATGGTGTAGTTGGGGCAGACGTTTAACCTGGTGAGCTGTCTGAGCTGGCGAAGGGCCCCGGGGAACCTGTTCTCCTTAATGTGGGAGTGCAGGTCCTTGTCAGGGAAGCACAGTTTCTCCAGCTCTGGTCTGGTCCGGCCACACGGTGGCACTGTGGCATTGATGAAGTTTAGGTGGACCCATACGGTAGGGAGGCCACAGAGGACACTCTTCACGGGTCTGGTCGCCGCCATGATCCTCAGCCTCAGCGTCCAAAACATATCTGATCAGCAAGAGAACCAAAGCAGAAACAACGGCCCCCATTTTAATCTCCCACAGTGCATTTATTTCTTGATGACTGGGCACTTTCTGGGCATTTATGCAATTACATTACTGTCCTGATTCTGAAAGCAGATCCCTGAACATGACGTATCACCTTGAAGCTTAGTATGCACAAAGCATGCAAGCTGAGCAACTTAAATAATTTCCCCCCACACATTTTACAATATTAAATATACCTGTATATTGGAAATATATTGGAGTGTTGTGTTCAATGGACAATTGAAAATTGGTATATGCAAAGTAAATAGATTGCACATTGAACTTCATAAAATATCCCATAAACAATGGGGAAAGAATACATATGTGCAACCTTCTGTCTCTATTTAACTCACATGCAGAGTCAAAGTCGCTCCACTCCAGGGTCTTATTCATGGAGAGTATCCCTGTGGTCTCGTCCAGGTGGAACCACTGGGCAAAGGTTGGAGGCCTCGTGGGGTTGTTCCAGCACAGATAGAAGTGGGGTTGTTGAGAGTCACTCTCCACCATGGCGTGAACCTGGAGCACGGGTGTCCCAGCAGACTGCCCAACGTACACAGTCTCCTGGTAATGATTCTGGGGGAAGTAGAGCCCAACTGACACTGCGAATTGAAATAAATACAATGTGTTAGGAATGGAGGTCGTTAGAGCTTAGGCACACAGGCAGACAGCACACTTCCACATCTCATCTCTAGGGGGCAGCAGCAACTGGGGCAAATGCTGAGAGTGCATGTAATGCTCGACAAGGTCTTCCTGCGTTTGTTTGAATACCTTTTTGTTATGGCATGACTTTTTGTTAATTTTTCTAACTATCATTGTTTTTGTCACCAACAATTGAACATCTATGAACTGGTCTATCAATTGAAGAGAAAAACAAATAAACACACTTATTGTTTATTATAATTATTAGGGGGTAGATCAGCTTTAATATTGCAGATAGATTGTGGCTTCTATCAATGTAATTGTCGGTATCATTTCCAATCCCCCATATATTTTTGGGGTATATACGTACCAGTCCAAAGTTTGGACACACCTACTCATTCAAGAGCTTTTCTTCATTTATTCTATTTTCTACATTGTAGGATAATAGTGAAGACATCAAAACTATGAAATAACACATATGGAATCATGTAGTAACCGAAAAAGTGTTAAACAAATCCAAATATATTTTATATTTGAGATTCTTCAAATAGCCACCCTTTGCCTTGATGACAGCTTTGCACACTCTTCGCATTTTCTCAACCAGCTTCACCTGGAATGCTTTTCCAACAGTCTTTAAGGAGTTCCCAGATATGCTGAGCACTTGTTGGCTGCTTTTCCTTCACTCCATCCCAAACCATCTCAATTGGGTTGAGGTCGGGGGATTGTGGAGGCCAAGTCATCTGATTCAGCACTCCATCACTCTCCTTCTTGGTAAAATAGCCCTTACACAGCCTGGAGGTGTGTTGGGTGTTTGTCCTGTTGGGGGAAAAAATGATAGTTCCACTAAGCCCAAACCAAATGGGATGGCGTATCGCTGCAGAATGCTGTGGTAGCCATGCTGGTTAAGTGTGCCTTGAATTCTAAATAAATCACAGACAGTGTCACAAGCAAAGCACCCCCACACCATAACACCTCCTCCTCCATGCTTTACGGTGGGAACTACACATGTGGAGATCATCCGTTCACCCACACCGCGTCTCACAAAGCCACGGCGGTTGGAACCAAAAATCTCAAATTTGGACTCCAGACCAAAGGACACATTTCTGTGACTTGAACACTGTGAAGGATTTATTTTGGCTGCAATTTCTGAGGCTGGTAACTCTAATGAACTTATCCTCTGCAGCAGAGGTAACTCTGGGTCTTCCATTCCTGTGGTGGTTCTCATGAGAGCCAGTTTCATCATAGCGCTTGATGTTTTTTGCGACTGCACTTGAAGAAACTTTCAAAGTTCTTGAAATTTCCCGGATTGACTGACCTTCATGTCTTAAAGTAATGATGGACTGTCATTTCTCTTTGCTTATTTGAGCTGTTCCTGCCATAATATGGACTTGGTCTTTTACCAAATAGGGCTATCTTCTGTATACCCCCCCTACCTTGTCACAACACAACTGATTGGCTCAAACACATTAAGAAGGAAATAAATTCCACAAATTAACCTTTAAGAAGGCACACCTGTTAATTGAAATGCATTCCAGGTGACTACCTCATGAAGCTGGTTGAGAGAATGCCAACAGTGTGCAAAGCTGTCATCAAGGCAGAGGGTGGCTATTTGAAGAATCTCCAATATAAAATATATTTTTATTTGTTTAACACTTTTTTGGTTATTACATGATTCCAAACAAGGATATGCATATTCTTGATACCATTTGAAAGGAAACACTTTGAAGTTTGTGGAAATGTGAAATTAATGTAGGAGAATATAACACATTAGATCTGGTAAAAGATAATAAAACATGCAGGTTTTTTTTCCATCTTTGAAATGCAAGAGAAAGGCCACAATATAATATTGCAGTATAGGCGCAATTTAGATTTTTGCCACCAGATGGCAGCAATGTGTGTGCAAAGTTTCAGATTGATCCAGTGAAGCGTTGCAATACTGGACTATTTTGTATCAAGTCTCCCCAAATATGTTGAATTAGTCAATTGATACATTTTCAAGTACATAACTATAGAGAACATACATAAATGATATGGTAATACAAAACGTAAGTTTACACACTCCCAGGAATGTCTTACACGATGGATCATTAGCTTACACACTAACTTTCACACATCTACAGTGGGGAAAAAAAGTATTTAGTCAGCCACCAATTGTGCAAGTTCTCCCACTTAAAAAGATGAGAGAGGCCTCTAATTTTCATCATAGCTACACGTCAACTATTAATTTTTTTCTCCAGAAAATCACATTGTAGGATTTTTTATGAATTTATTTGCAAATTATGGTGGAAAATAAGTATTTGGTCACCTACAAACAAGCAACATTTCTGGCTCTCACAGACCTGTAACTTCTTCTTTAAGAGGCTCCTCTGTCCTCCACTCGTTACCTGTATTAATGGCACCTGTTTGAACTTGTTATCAGTATAAAAGACACCTGTCCACAACCTCAAACAGTCACACTCCAAACTCCACTATGGCCAAGACCAAAAAGCTGTCAAAGGACACCAGAAACAAAATGGTAGACCTGCACCAGGCTGGGAAGACTGAATCTGCAATAGGTAAGCAGCTTGGTTTGAAGAAATCAACTGTGGGAGCAATTATTAGGAAATGGAAGACATACAAGACCACTGATAATCTCCCTCGATCTGGGGCTCCACGCAAGATCTCACCCCATGGGGTCAAAATGATCACAAGAACGGTGAGCAAAAATCCCAGAACCACACGGGGGGGCCTAGTGAATGACCTGCAGAGAGCTGGGACCAAAGTAACAAAGCCTACCATCAGTAACACACTACGCCGTCAGGGACTCAAATCCTGCAGTGCAGACGTGTCCCCCTGCTTAAGCCAGTACATGTCCAGGCCTGTCTGAAGTTTGCTATAGTGCATTTGGATGATCCAGAAGAGGATTGGGATTATGTCATATGGTCAGATGAAACCAAAATAGAACTTTTTGGTAAAAACTCAACTCGTCGTGTTTGGAGGACAAAGAATGCTGAGTTGCATCCAAAGAACACCATACCTACTGTGAAGCATGGTGGTGGAAACATCATGCTTTGGGGCTGTTTTTCTGCAAAGGGACCAGGACGACTGATCCGTGTTAAGGAAAGAATGAATGGGGCCATGTATCGTGAGATTTTGAGTGAAAACCTCCTTCCATCAGCAAGGGCATTGAAGATGAAACGTGGCTGGGTCTTTCAGCATTACAATGATCCCAAACACACCGCCCGGGCAACGAAGGAGTGGCTTCATAAGAAGCATTTCAAGGTCCTGGAGTGGCCTAGCCAGTCTCCAGATCTCGACCCCATAGAAAATCTTTGGAGGGAGTTGAAAGTCCGTGTTGCCCAGCGACAGCCCCAAAACATCACTGCTCTAGAGGAGATCTGCATGGAGGAATGGGCCAAAATACCAGCAACAGTGTGTGAAAACCTTGTGAAGACTTACAGAAAACGTTTGACCTGTGTCATTGCCAACAAAGGGTATATAACAAAGTATTGAGAAACTTTTGTTATTGACCAAATACTTATTTTCCACCATAATTTGCAAATAAATTCATTAAAAATCCTACAATGTGATTTTCTGGATTTATTTTCCTCATTTTGTCTGTCATAGTTGACGTGTACCTATGATAAAAATTACAGGCCTCTCTCATCTTTTTAAGTGGGAGAACTTGCACAATTGGTGGCTGACTAAATACTTTTTTTCCCCACTGTAGATGGCCGGGCGGGGTGGGTGTGGAGCCAGAGACGGCAGGGGTTCAAACTGTAGAACCCAGTTCCTACATTTGAATATAAATATGGATTTTATCAAACAGAACTATGCAGATTAACAAGATTTTAAGCTTTCTGCCCATATAAGACATGTCTATGCCCTGGAAAGTTTGCTGTTATTTGCAACAGTCATGCTAATCACATTAGTGCACGTTAGCTCAACCGTCCCGTATACGGGACACCGATCCCGTAGAGGTTAATACTTTATGAGAAATTATTTACTATTTTACAACTAGGGTTACTATACATAACTTTAACCCATTGTATAAGAGATTCTCCAAAATTGAAATATTTCAGACATTAATATATAAATTCCAGTCGTACTTTATCAAAAGGCTTTTTTTCAAAGTCAGCTATAAATACCAGGCCTGGTTTCCCAGATGTTTCATAGTGTTCTAGGGATATTCTTTTTCAAATGCAGCCAAGACCTGTAACTTAACAGTTTTTGTAAAATCCAAGAGCCAATAGATATATTTATCAGGACAGTGTTTTGCTTTGGTTGAGTTGAAGTCTAAATACCATGACCCCTGATGTCATATGCTCAATGTAATAGGCTATTGCTCACTTTCCTGATGCTAACATACCATGGGAAGCATATTCTGAATGTAGCCTTTAGACCTACCATGTCAGTGAATTTCACAATGCTGTGACATTTTCTTCAGCTGCCTAATATGAGGGTGTGCCTGCACATAAAGCATCATCAACTATCAGACATCTCCTCCCTGATAGGCCTATTTAAATGATGCCACCATACAGTGAGGGAAAAAAAGTATTTGATCCCCTGCTGATTTTGTACGTTTGCCCACTGACAAAGAAATGATCAGTCTATAATTTTAATGGTAGGTTTATTTGAACAGTGAGAGACAGAATAACAACAAAAAAATCCAGAAAAACGCATGTAAAAAATGTTATAAATTGATTTGCATTTTAATGAGGGAAATAAGTATTTGACCCCCTCTCAATCAGAAAGATTTCTGGTTCCCAGGTGTCTTTTATACAGGTAACGAGCTGAGATTAGGAGCACACTCTTAAAGGGAGTGCTCCTAATCTCAGCTTGTTACCTGTATAAAAGACACCTGTCCACAGAAGCAATCAATCAATCAGATTCCAAACTCTCCACCATGGCCAAGACCAAAGAGTTCTCCAAGGATGTCAGGGACAAGATTGTAGACCTACACGAGGCTGGAATGGGCTACA